GTGGATTTACCCAAAAACGGATAATATTTTCGAAATCAGCGTCCCAAAATCAATCAAAACCAATCAAAACATTTTGAAAATCGCGAAGAAAGCCGATTTTTTTTAAAGAAAAATTGATTTTGCAACCAAAGATTTCGATTTTTCGGGGGGGTGTATGTGGGCTTATCCAAAAATAGATAGCATTTTTGAAATCAGCGTTCGAAAATCTTTTGGAATCAGTAAAAACATTTCCAAAATAGCGAAAACAAATCTATTTTTTTTGCTAAAATTCCGATGTTGCAACCAAAGTTTTTGTTGTTTTCCAGTGGAACACGCCCTGAAAGCTCATCAAACAGGATGATTTCGTCCTTGGTGTAATAAAAAATCATTCAAAAACTTTGTCCAATAAGTTTTTGATCATAAATTTCCTTTAGTATAGGGGAGACCCAGATTTTATGGTTCCTGTTCCTATAAGTGCATAAGTACCTGTGAAAAGAATAAATATTCATTCTAAGGATATACATTTAAAATAAGATTACTTGTTACTTAATACCAGACTAGTAACAATAGGTAAGCTTTGAATATTTTATTTGAAAGTAAAACCACAAAAACTCGGTGAAAAAATAAAAACATTTGAATAATTTGTAGGTACATCATTTATGTTAATCGAATAACTTGATATCATTTCCAAAGTTAAAAAAAAGCTCTTAAAACAATCCATGGATAGTATCCATGGATTCAACTTCAAATAAATCATTTATTATAATCGAACAATTTGATATCATCACTGTAGTTTTAACAAAATCATGAATAGCAGTCTTTGCTTTTAATATTATTTATGATTTATGAATCTAAATTTTATCTATTTTTTACTAATATAAATAAATTGAAATGTCTAGAACAAAATTTTCAAGTTGTTTGATAAAATGACAGACACAAATTCGCGATCCGGTTAAAAATTATACGAAAATTTAGTTTCCAAGTATATATACTAGTTTGTACTAAATTTTTGTAAATTTTATCTGGTTTTCACTAATGTAAATATATTAAATTGTTTGAAGAAAAAATTAAAAGTTATTTGAAGAAAAGTAAATAAAAGTCCCAAATCTACATATTACGTTTAAATTTGCGTTTCAACTGAAAATTATTCAAAGTTTTGATATACAAGTATATAATACAATTTATACTGTTAGTAAATTTTATCTAGTTTATATTTATATTAAACTCAAATCTGCAATTCAACTACACATTATTCAAAATTTCAATATCAAAGTGCATAGAACAATTTTATGTATATGTAATATAAGTTTAAACTTATATAAAAAAATTTAAATGTCTAGAACAAAATTTTCAATTAATTTGACAAAATGTAAAAAAAATGTCCCGAATCTACCTATAGCTATTTATCAAACTCAAATCTGCCCTTCAACTACAAATTATTCAAAATTTTGATATCTAAGTATATATAACTACTTATGTATTTACTTAAGTATTTATACTACTTGATAGTAAATTTTATCTAGTTTATACTAATATACACAAATAACAGTATCCAAAAAAAATTTTCAAGTTATTTGACAAAAACCAAACAAATGTCCCAAATTTTCTATTAAATTCCAAAGAAAATGAAAGGTCGAATTCAAAGTGGTTTTACTCAAAACCTTTATGTCGTCTACTGTTCGATTTAATTATTAAACATCTATTTAATTAATTATTAATTTTAAAACACATTTGAAAATGAACCTGTCACAACTGACATCTTTAAACCAACTGTCAAGTTTGACGTTTGACTTTTGGCATTTCTAACCTCAAACCAATATAGTTTAAATTTGATGTTTAGAGTAATAAATTCATGTATTAAAAAGTGTTTTGGACTTGAATAAATATTACAATGTAAGCAGAAAATATATTTAATTAGAATTATGCCAATAGTTTGCTAAAATATTTATAAATACATAAACCTAAACCACTTTTAATATGTTAAACGTTATTGGGTACTTACCTAGAACATATTTTTACACTAAACACACTTTAACTTTAAACATATTTAACTTTGTGACTTGTAAATTTATTATTATTATAAAGAAACTTGTCCAAGCAAGGCTCAGCACAAACTGATAAATTTATTTTAATAATTCTTAACCCAAAAATTAAACATAGAGTATAAAATATATATTCATAGACTGGTAACATAGTTTTAGTATTATAGTTTTTCAAAATTAGTATATTTTTTTATAAATCTTTTTCCAAGGAAACGTACAGCAGCAGCAGCCGAACGCAACAAGGAACCAATTCTTGAAGTACTCAAAAAGTACATTTCAAACACCGCAGGATACTTCCTGGAAATATCCTCCGGCACCGGTCAACACATTGCACATTTTGCCCCAAACTTTCCCAATGTAACATTCCAACCTTCTGAGTACGATAAAGATATGATGTGCAGCATACACGTATGGGGTGAGGAATGTCCCACAGAAAACGTAAGATAAAAGACTTGTTCAAACTTTGTATTAGCACTCAGCAATTATTTTTTGTTAGGTCAATCCTCCTTTGAACATCGATGTAACCCAACACTGGACCAAATGGCCCCAATCGCCAATGTTTATTAAAAACAATATTGATTACATCTACAATGCAAATATGATACACATCTCACCAATATCTTGTACGGAAGGTCTTTTTTCTAACTCAGGAGAGTTATTAAAGCCCGATGGTCTATTGATTACTTACGGGCCTTATGGTCAAAACGGGGTCATTTCTCCTGAAAGTAATGTCAGGTTTGATGAAGGCTTAAGGATGCAGAATCCTGAATGGGGCGTTAGAGATATTAATCTTTTGAAACAAATGGCAGAGAGACATGGAATTTGGTTATCGGAGATTATTGGGATGCCTGCTAATAATAAAGTGCTGATTTGGAAAAGGAATAATGGAAAGGAATTGTGAAGTTAATGTTGATAATATATTTTTATAAATTGGATGGGATTTGGTTTTATTTCTTGGCTAGGAGGAGTTTTTTATTTGTTGTGGATTGTCTAGAAAATTTTTGTTAATTGTCTGAAATTGTTCTTGATGTCCTAAAATCCAAATAGTCTTTCTAAATATTAAAATTGCATAGAACGAAGTTTGTCCACAATATAATTTGTAAAGAAAGAAATGAAATCATCCCACAATCTAATTTTTTTACACAATTCTAATATCTACTTAATTTTTGTTACACAAATCTTAGTAAAATAAAAATAAATTTTGAGGTAGCTAAAGTGTTTTGATATGGAAGTTATGGCAAATTAAACCATATGTTATTGCATAATAGAGATGTAAATATCCAAACAAATCCAGCCTAAAAATTATAAAGTGCACAAAATACAATGATATACTTAATACATAAAGTAAATAAACAAATTTTCAAAAACACAATTAAAGAAAAAATGACGAATTATCAAACATTACTCACAGATTTTTTTAAATGTTAAAGAAAAAAAGAAAAAAACGTCTAAAATGGTTTGAAATTGTTGCAGATAGTCTGATAATGTTGCAAAGTGTCTGAAAATGTTATAAATTATTTGAAAATGTTGTAAATTGTCTGAAAATGTTAAAAATTGTCTGAAAATTGTACATATTGCTTGAGGATATTATATATTATCTGAAAAAATTATAAATCTGTCTCACTTTTTCGTGAAATTCTTGTAAAAAATTTTAGTCATTAAAAATATCTTTATTCAGATTTCTTAACTCCAAAATTGTTAATTATAGTCAATGCAATAAATTGTGAATTGTGATTTTGATTTAAAGAAATGATACGAGTTTACTAAAAATCGATTTCTATTTTCTACTATTTTCATTTAGATGTTAAAAAGTTCTATATAATGATATAGGTATATAATTATTTGGAAAACCTCCACTATCAAGGATTTCTCACGTGTTTTTGAAAAAGTACAATCTGTTTCATTACCAATATTGAGAGCAAAGCCAGTCGCCCATCGACCTCGTATATCTCAAAAACTATTGAATGTACCAATTTTAAATTTTGGTCACATTTTTGGTAAAGTATAGTAACAATGTGTGTCAAGTTTCATCAAAATCGAATTATGCATTTTTGAAAACGTACAATCTGTTTCAATACCAGTATTGAGAGCGAAGCCAGCCATGCATTGCAATTGTTGCAAATGCTCTAAAATCATTCTATAATATTTAAATCGTTCTTGATGCCCAGGAATCGTTGTAAGTTGCCTGAAAATGTTATAAGTTATCCAAACGTGTTTTAAATTGTCTAAAAATGTAATAAATTGTCTTAAAATGTTGTAACCGTCTAAAAATATTATAAATTGAAAAGAAAATATAATTGTGTGTAAGTTTTGTAAATTGTCTAAAAATGTTATGAATTATCTGAAAATGTTGCAAATTGTCTGAAAATGTTGCAAATTGTCTGAAAATGTTGTAAATTAATTGAAAATGTTGCAAATCTAAGAATGTTGTAAATTGTCTAAAAATGTTGTAAATTGTCTAAAAATGTAAATTGCATGAGAATGCTGTAAATTGGCTGAAGAGAATATATATTATCTGAAAAAATTATAAATCTTATTTTTAATATATGAAATTATAAATTCTTGAACTACTTTTCTGTAAATTTTTGTAAAAAATTGCAATTTCATTAATTGTACAATTGTTTCTTTTTATTACTAAAAAAAAAGTTCTCAATTTGGATATTTCTTCTAAATAATAAAAAATAAATTCTGATTTGTTAATAATATAGTTAGTCTTAAAAAAAATATGAGCTCACTAAAAACAAATTTATATCCTTTACTATTTTCATTTAGATGTTAAAAAGTTCTTAATGAAGAAAAACAGTAATAATAGTAGCTGAATATATTATAAAATCACTTGAATAACCTGGACAAGAGTTAAAAAAATAAATAAATAAATTCATTACTAGCATTGTAATTACCTTTATAAATATGCAAAAACAAAATGAACTGATAAGTTATCTTAAATTTATTTCATTAGTTACCTATTATTAAAAAAATAAACATATCGACATAATTACTAAGCAGTCCATTTGAGACATCTGGTATCTTGATGCGTATTAAGACATTTCACACAGCAATAACGACTGCCACAAGTTGTGCAAGTGTAGTTACTTGGAAATCCACAAACCGCACAGAAATGTCTGTCCGGTTTTTCTGAAGGCTTTGCTACAGCAGTAGAATAGTTAATTTCGTTTGTCAATTTGTCATCTTCTATCATTTGGGCTAGAGACTTACGAAATCTAAACATAAATAGAAATAGAAATATATAAATAAAAATATAAATATAAATATATAGATATAAATAGATAATGAGGTTGATATACCTTGTTTTATAATATTCTGCACTCTTAGACTTCTTCTTCCTGGTTTTATTATCCAAATTATCCTGAAACTTTGGTACTTTCTTAGACATAACCAAATCCGCATGCGGGTCATCATGAAAATTATCCTGCTCCAAAGCTTCTAAAGCCTTTCTAGCCCTCCGCTGTCTACTGACATCGTCCAAAACCCTCTTCTTTTCCACATCTCTAATTCTACCAGACTCTCGAGACATTTCAAACAGAAACTACAAAGTTTTTTAGAATTTACAATCCTTTTTCATGTAACGGGAAGCTGATTTGGTCCATCAAATCATCAATTTTGGATTGTAGGGTTTCTAGGATGTCAGCGGAGATAAAAACGTGGGTTTCGTCTAAGTCTTCGATTATGAATCTTGATCCTAGGGCTTGGGTTTCGTCTAGATGGAGGAGGAATTGTTTCATAGCCTGATCACTAAAAAAATAACCTTTATATATAATATTGATATCATTCTCGTAGTAAACATTAACATATGTGAGAGTTATGCATAGAAACTAAACATACACGTTTGTGCTTTAAATAAATTCTATAAATAAATTATTCATACAATATTTGAGGTTATGTTAACACAAATGTCAAAACTAGTTAAAATTTGACATTTACCATTTGCAAATGCTTTTGTATGTATTTATATACAATTACAGTACATAATAAAAGCTTTATGCTATATATTAACACCCACAAATGTTAAAATAATTTAAAACATGCTTATAAGTAAAAATTTCTTACCATTCCACCAAGACTCCTTTTTTTAAATTAACCATTTTAAAGTGATCTCACATTGAAGATAATATTTAGGCAATGCCTCAAAATTTATTTAATTTATTTCTATCACTTTATTATCACCAGTTTCACGAAAAAACAATTAAATAATGATGGTTAAATAATTATTGCATTTATTTGACGTTTCTTTGTCATCAGAACCATACTGAAGTTAGCAACGTCGATATTGTTCATGTCATTAAAAAAATGACGCAAAATTCAAATTTTTGTTTTGAAACTTTTGAAAATAAGATAAATGTGAATTTTTCTTAATAAATAACAATATATATGTATATAAAAAATACAGCAAATGTCTGCAAAATGTTTACAAAAATATTACAATTTAGTTTCAACAATTTGTAAATGCCTAATTTAAATAAATACAAATCTAGATAAAGAATTTTGCATGATAGGATGATATATAGATTTAAAATTAAATTTTGCTGAATAAGTATATTTATATAGAACCAAAATATAATAAAAGTTCATCAAAGTAAGATTTAAAAAACGCAGTAAATTATTTAAATACATATATATTAATATTTTATTATTAAAAAAAACTCCTTGAAATATGATTAATATTAATAATGACAATAAATGAAAGTAAAGTAGTAAATATTTTATTTAAAAATATTCACTAAATTACTTCTCCTTAATATTGTAAAAATGTGCCTACTAAATTAATTAAAAATTATATTTAAAAATTATTTAGACCAAATCTGTATTTTCTATCCGGCCTGAAAAATTATAATTGAATTGCAAAACTCATCATCTACTCAATTATACATTTTTTTATTTTTTTATCAAATTATGTACAAAATTTATACAATAAAAAAGTAACTTAAAATTTTTAATTTACACATAAAAATAAATATGCTAGCTATTTTCTATAAAAATACCAAAAAAACTATATGAAATAAAAAACAATACAAGTATTTTAAAATTTCATATCGATTTACCAACATCACTAACCATAATAATCTATAATTAATTAATTAATTAATATATAAAAAATATATACAAGAGTTTTTTAATATCAAGCACCGTTTATCAATTTCATAATCGGAGCAGATATTAAAAAACTCTAAAATTTATAATTTTTTTAAAACTATTGCATATAGATTTTTTTGAAAATTTCTAGTTATCACTGTTGAAAAAATCGTTTTAGTAATTAATATATTTTATTTATACCAATATTTTGTTTTACTTAGCTGTTGTTTTTATAAACATCACATGTTAGCTAAGAATGTTGATTTTTTTTTGTTAATTTTTCGACCGAAATATTTACATGGAAGTTTTAAATAAATAAAACTACTTAAAATATAAAACAAAACTTATAGAACTAAAAGTTAATGAAAGAATAGTCTTGGGGAAAAATATGGTAGAAGAAAAAATAGACAGAAAAATGTAAAAATTATTTATATATATATATATATATATATATATATATATATATATTATTTATAAATATATTATCATACGTTTTTTGCTACCAAAAAAAATCGAAAAGTAAAACAGCAAAATTTGTCACGATTGTACGAAATGTGCAATTTTTTGTTAATATCAATTTTTACAAATATTTATTAATATATATTGTGGGTTTACACTATTTAATTTTTTGTACATTTGTTAATTTATATAATTAATTTGATGCAAATATTCATTTAATATTTTTAAAATAATTTGTGGTAAGGTTTTTGTTAAACAAAATTTAAAATTTAAAATTTTTGCTTGTAAAAATTTGGTTAAGGGTGAAAAAAATATTTTTTTTAATTATGTACAAAGATTTTAAAGTATACCGAGTTGCTCAAAATTATCAATAATTTTGTAAATAATTTTCTTTAACAATATTTTTGCTTTAAATTTTATTTATATTAATCGAACGGTTTAAGATTTGTATATGATAAAAAATTTGCGTAGCACTTTGAGTACTTAGTATGTTTTTTTGCATGTATTTTAAAGTATACCGAGTTGCTGTAGGGTGTTATAATGTTAGACAATGTTATACATTATTTAATTTTAAACAAGTTTTCCGAATATTTTATTTATTTTACTCAAACCGTTTAAAAGTTACAAGAAAACGTACTTCAAGAGAGTTCTAAACAATTTAGTGTTTTCGTTAGCGATTTTAAAGTATACCGAGATGCTGTACAGTATTATAATATTAGACAAAGTTAAAGTTTGCTTAATTTTGTACAAATTTGGACAAGTTACAAGAGATATGATAAATAAATGCACAAATGATTAAAATTGCTGTACTATAGACAGTACAGTAGGTTGACACTATTATTAATTAAAAATTATACCTTTAGATATAATTTTTTGCAAAATATATATATTAAAACATATATTAATAAAACAATAAATATTGGAACATACAAATAAACACAGATTTAAGGCTCATCTTGACCCCGGGAATTAAAAATGCAGTTTTTTTTATATATTCATTCAAATACCCTTGAACAAAATTTTCAAAATGAAGCTATAATTATTTCAATTAAAAAAATGCATGTTTAAATATAAAATTTTGCAAAATATATATTTAAGAAACTAATGAAAGATATTAGAATCATTTTGATTCTAGTGATAAAAAAGTTGGATAAAATAAGTTATTGATATAAAATTATAATTATATCAATTGGAAAAAAGGCATGTTAATATATAGAATTTTACTAAATATTTGTTAAAAAAAATAAATAGCAAAAAGTGAATAAGCAAAGTTTAGGGGTCATTTTGCACCTGATTTTGCACTTTAACGTATGATACTATATATTTTATAAATAATTTCATATACATACATATACATATACATATACATATATATATATATATATATATATAAACATAAATAATTTTTACCATTACCAGATTAGTATAGGTACCTATCATTACCCTCAATTTTCATCTGATTATGACTGCAAGCTGTGATTGTTTGATTGATTGTTTGATTTTTTTAATCAATTGGTGATGATTTTTTTCTGATTATTTGTTTATTTTTGTTTTTTGATTAAAAATGATGATTTAGATGATGGAGGTGATCAGACGGGCCTTGAAGTTGACTAGTCTTTCACTTGTGGCGGCGGCGCGCTGAAACGAGATAAATAAAAATACGAATTAGAAACGAAATTTGGTTAAATTTTAGGGAAAAAATTAAAAAATATATTAAGGAATAAAAGACCCAGGGATTGATTTAAGGGTTGACGCCTTAACAGACCCAAACCATGATATTAATAACCTTCAAAAAATTGTTTTAAAATCTGTATCATATGTGGAGAACAACATATCCCAATTTCAGCCGTCAGACATATGAGATATTTAAAGAAAAAAAATCTTGTCAAATTGTCTTCAAACCAAAAATATTTACTGTTCTTATATCGAAGTGTTCAAGTTCGAGATTTTGTACTATGACTATTAATATATTAAAAATGCCCAAAATGATTATTATATGAAAATATTGGCTTTGGGTTGAAAACAATTAAATTGGTCACCAATTATAATCTTGAAGACGAAGATAAGAGACAAACAAGTTTAAAGAAATTTTGATATTCCTGCATCAAATATTTTTTACTTTAAATATCATTTTTATAAACATTAATACATAATGGTGTAGAGACGATTTTATATAAAAGTATTCCCAAAGTCTTTATTGTTGTAATTGTTTATTGTTGTAATTTATTGCTGTATTGTTGTCATAAGTTGTCACAAGTTTCAACGTCAAGTCAACTTTTACCAAATTTTACCAATTTTTTTATATTTTTACTATTTCCTCCATCATCAGATCAGTCGCTGATGAATTGTATGAAAAAAATGAAGAAGCAAATAAAAACAAGCAAATTGATGGTGTAAAAGAATTTAAAATTTATATTTAATTGTTTTGTAAGTTATTTTAAATTCTTTCTGTCTAAATGTCTTTGTTGTTTGTTAGTAAGTACTTACAGTTAGTTCTAGTTTTGTAGTTTATAGTTACAGTTTGTAGTTTTGTTTTGTCAAGTAACAACAGCATATTGTCTAAATTAAATCTAATAAATAATATTAATATTTAGCTGTATTTGTAGAAAAAACAGGTCCAGAAAGTTAATTGTAAGGATCGATTGATTGAAGTCACAATGGCACCAAAAATATCCAAAATATTTACGATTTTTATACAAATTTATGGCAAGAATATTTAAATTTAAATTATATATATAGTATGAATTTTTATATTATATATATATATATATATATATATATATATATATTTATTAATTTCACCCCTTAAATCTTAATCGTAATCTAAATCGTAATACTGCATATATTGTACTTATCTATAAAACAACCTTTAACCTTTCAAATAACAAAGTTTTCTGATATAATATTTAATAATATCATAAAATTTTTCACTCCCTATATAACTCAAAAATTTTATATTAATATTCCATTTTTTAAGTTAAAAATTGCAGGAAGTTCTAGTTTGAACATATTAATCGGTTTATAGATTTTTAAAAATCTAGCTATTTTGTTCCTAACTTTTTTTAAATGAAAATATAAAATCGTTGTTTTATGATGATTTTAACCATTAAATTTATAATTTGCTAAACAAAAAAATCTTTGATTTTAATAAAAACGCCAAAAATTTGATGAGAATTTTTTTCTCATAAAAAGTAGCTTTTTGGTGGATTTTTGCACCATTCAAAAGTAGTCGAAAGGAGTAATGAATTTAATTAAAGAAAATCTGTTTTAAACAATTTCATAAAATAAACTCGATAAACACAAAAAAAATAGTCAGTAAAGAAAAAACCTAACATAAAAACAGTGAATAAAAATAAGAAAATGTAAGTATAAATAAGGTGACCATATTTTTTTAAGTCAAAATATAAATATATAATAAAAGTTTTTTTTTATAAAAATCTCTTTTTTTATAATTATATGTTTTCGCGCTTTTGAGCCTTGTATAATATTCTATTTAATTTTACTCATAAATATTTTGAAAGAATTAGCACTTCGTTTATTTTCATAATTTTTGTTAATTCATCAGTTAATTTTTGAAAAACCGGGACAATCCGGGACAAAAGATCGAAATCCGGTACAAATCATGCTTTTAAAATAACCCGGCACACAAGGGTTGAAATCTGGGGCTGTCCCGGCCAATCCGGGACGTATGGTCACATTAAGTATAATACTATTTTATACTCGATTTTAGTAATCATAAAATAATACTGAATATATTAACTAGGAATCTTTGTTATATTTTGAGCAATTTTCTGTAAATTTCTTGGCAACAATGAAAATTGTTCGGTGATAAAAATGTATTGCAAATATTTCCAGAAAACGAAAATTTTATTGGAATTCAATTTGGATTTATCGTCCAGGCAACTTGTCTTAAGGCAAAATACTACATACACCTGATTAGACATAAAAATTAACTCCGGAAATACATGGATGGTAATAAATATTTATCAAAATAATTGATTGATTGAAATAATATTTTTAAACAGACTTATACGATTTGTGCGTGATACGAGAAGTGCGATTTATTTTTCAAACTTCAATGAAATTTCATAACTCAACCACTTTTCATAGGCCTATAATATTTTAGGAAAAAATTAGTTACCAAAATCACTAATAAATAAACTTTTCTATGTCTTATAAACTCGTGCTAAAAAATCCGTTTTGCTAACTTCACATCCCCATTACAAATTTCCAAAAACGTATCAATCTATCCATTATCCTCTTATCCCAAAAAAGAAAATTCCACCGCCTTCTCCCCCGTCCCAGTCGACGCGTTCCCCAAATGTCGGCTCGCCGCCCCGCTGGCGGTCAGCACTTTATTAACCGCCTTCGTGGCGCCCACGACGACCGCCGCCTTGACGGCCGCCCCTAAAGCCTTCGCCTTCCTCTCACTCACCAGAATGAGGTCCTGGATGAGGTTGGCCAGGCCGCGGTTGGCGATGACGAGCAGCCTGGTCACCGGTCCGGGGAATGGCCTCTTCGTAGCCTCCGGAGACCGATTTGGTGAAGGTCAAGCCGTCGGCGGGCTGGACGGCCGCGTTCTCGTCGCCTTGCTCGGTGTTACCGCTACCGGCTACCAACTGGGGAAAAGATATATGGTAAATGGTAATTGAAAAATGGTGAAAAGTTGTGTTTAGGAAAAAATGGAAGCAAAAGACTATTTGTGTTGAATTTTTTTATCGATAAGTGGCTTTGATGAATTTAAAAAATAGTAGACCTTTGCTAAATTATGTTTTTTACCACGTTAACCGCTTGTCAGTCATATGTGTTTGAGGCAAAGAATTTCTACATGAACCATGTCTAACATATAGGGTAGAGCGGGGCTAGTTGAGCATAGGGGCAAGTTGAGCAATCGAAATATCTCGAAAACTATTCACAGTCCGTTTAGGCATTATATGGCGGAAATATAGAGGTTTGGGAGAAAAATACATCCCGCAATCGCTAGTGGCCGCTGGACAAATGAGTGAGACTCACGGGCGTTTCGTTTATTTTGAGACCAAAAAGTGAAAAGGTAATTCATCACGAGTTTTCGTCTGGTTTAGTCAAATGTTATTTGTTTTTAATCAGGTAAATGTTATTCTTCCATATAAATATAGTACTTCTAATATGCATAGAGATTCTGGTATAATTCTCACGTTTTTTTTTTTATAAAATCACTTTAGTTTGAAATTCCGAGTTGAGGTTAGTTGAGCATAGTTGCTAAACTTGTTCTGTCACTAAGATAATTACCATTAACTTCCAGAAATTAATTATTATTATTAAGATTTAAGCTAAGTCTATGAGTAATTATATAAAAAAAATAATGATTTTATACAAAAATACTGAATATAATGGTAAAATAATTCCTAAGATACAATATTGTTTTGTTGATTCTACTTTTCGTTAATTATTCAAAGCAAATTACTATAAGTTTTGTTTTCTCTGTCAATAAAGACTATAAATATAGAACTGGTTATTAAAAATTTATTTTATTTCATCACTAATCGACATTGAACCTATGATTTCATTATACTTTCTTAGTGCTCAACTTGCCCCACCTATGGGGTACATTGAGCATACTTGACTTTTTGCATTTAAACAGCTGTAGCTTTTAAACTTTACTTATTACCAAAAAATAGTTTTAACACTTATGTTAAGCGATAAACAACAAATCCATTAAGCCGTATAGCAATTTATTGAGACTTTTCATTGAGGAGCACATCCGTTTAAGTAAAAATTTGCTCAACTAGCCCCGCCCTACCCTATGTCTGACACTAAAATTGGTAAAAAAAGAAAAAACGTTTAAATACTTATTTATTTATAATACAATAATAATAATATAATCCCTCCGTCGGTCGGATATTTTTTCACCTTCGAACGATCGGAAAGGTCTGGCTGGACCACTATTCATTTTACATGCATTTATATGGGATAAATGAGTTTTTGGTGCTTGGTGTCTTATATATTAACGATTATTAGTGGTAAATATTTAAAGTTTTGATTTTTTCTTTTTTACCGTCTTTTACATGTGTTGAGCTTGCTTATAATAAAAAAATTATATATTATATTATATTATATAAAAAAATCAAAAAATATAAAAAAATCGTTGCTTTTTGTTAATTTTTCTGTTTTATATCAATGAAAAAACAATATTTATCTTTTTCGGCTCCTTCGAATGAATGTGGAATTCAAATGAAAACGAAATGAGGTGCGTCGCATTTGAAATGAGCTGTAAAACTCAAAGTGAAAATATAATTTCACTGCAAGTTTGCAAAAAAAAAAAAAATTCGAACGCAGTACGGGTAGAAAAATTGTTGATAATGTGTGCATTACTCATCCGATTTTCAGTGTTTGCGATTACCAATAAGTTTGGAGTGTTTTCAAGGAACTCTCGTCATGAAAATACTAACATTCATGTTACAACACATAGCAAAGAATATAATATATATTCTTCTATATACAACGCAGTTTGAATAGAAAATACCACGAAAAAAGACAAAATACTGGTTTACATTTATCAAAAAGCGTATATTTTATACAAAATGTTTGGGTGGTCTAGACAGACCTTTCCGACCGTTCGAAGTATAAAAAAGTTAATATCCTTATAATTATTCTTGTGTACATTTTTTCGTTCTGATTTTTTCATAGATCGAAAGCTAATGAAATTTGAAGAAAAGTCAAGAAATTTCAAGTCGATAGGATTACTAGAAGTATTCTTTTTTTTTAATTGAAGTCGAAAAAAGTCTGGTCAGACCACGCCGACCGACGGAGGGTTAAATTTTCTTGATAACTAAATTACCAAACAAAGATAACATAGTCCATATGATTTTTTTTTATCGTGGCGACTAACTGTATACATGTCTGACATACTTAATTTGGTTTTAGTCATATTTTTGTAACATAAAAATAGTGTTGAATTTTTTTTCTTTCATACATTAAATTTTATTGACATACTTGTTGAAATAAATTTAATAATAATGAAAAGTTTTAATTACACACTTGAAACAAATCGAAATTCTATAGATTTGTATCTATACTAAATTCTATTTTAATATTATTTATTTAGAGTTACTAATGTTTTAAAAAAATTACTAAATGAGTGTAAAATTTTAATTAATATTTCAACATAATTTAACAAATAAAATAAATGAATTTAATTTTTAATTTCGCCGAAAGCCTATTTGTTGTTAATTATTGTTTTACTGAAGTCTAATTATTTTTACTAAATAGTCTTTTTTTCTGATTTTTTACTAAATAGTGTTAATATTTAAATAAAAATATAACAAAAAAACGATTAGTAAAATTTGCAAAAAATTTCATCAAAATTGATAATTATTTTAATCCATATCAGCATTTGTTAATTGACTAAAAGTGATTTATGCATTTGTTTATTATATCTCTTGTAACTTTTAAACCGTTCATTTGATACTAACAAAATATTTATAAATCTATACATAATTAAATGATTTATAATATTGGCTAATATTATTAATACCTACAGCAACTCCGTATACTTTGAAATCATATTAGAAAACGAAAACTCTCGAACTGATATGGATTAATTTAAAATTACCAATCAAATATAAAAGCACAAAGTTTTCTAATTCAAAAACAAAATATTAACAAAACAAATATATATATATATATATATATATATATATACTCGTAATATATATATATATATATATATATATATATTTATATACAGAATTTTTTTTTGTAGCTTTTTGTTTTTGGATTTTAGAATTTGTAAAAAAAATATATATAACATAAAATATTAAGAAGTAAAAATAAAAAAAACCATACACCACAAGTAAAAATTTATAAAAATTGAATTGGTATACTTCTAATTATATTTATAATATATAATTTGTACTTTAATATAAATATATTAAGTAATATAATATTAAAATTAGAAATTTACCAAATATATATATATTTATATAAATTAAAATGAAAAATCACATCTAATAAAAATATTTGAAAAAAAATGTGCTTTGGTGTAAAATATATATATGAGTGCCTTATGTGATTAAAAAAATTAAAAAAATATAATATATATATTATATATATATATATATATATGAATATAAAAATGAATATAAAATGTATAAATATATATATAAAAAACCAACACCATATATAAATAAATAAACATTCTATAAGAATAAAAAAATAATTAAATAAACAAAA